CTTAAAGTAGGTATGGTGTGGCTAAGACGCGAAGTGCTAAGGTTTGACTGAAACCTGAATGTGTTAGGTACGGCATATTCTCTTATAGTGAAGATTTGGTGAGACATGGTCCGTCTATGCTAGAGATTAAATGTGCTTTGGCGCCGGCATAAAGCTGCTCGTAGGACGAGATTACAGTAAGGAGCATCAATTTTTCCGAATAAGTCAGAAGCGATGATGCTGAAACCTCGAGTAAAGTTTAAAAGGCAAAAGCAGCAGTGGTTAATGGTATCAGGACGAAACAAAAGATTTGATCGTATTTTTTACGGGGTTTATGAGTATTTTGGCAGAGTCACGTAATAGCGGTGCCTTGTCGCACATCCTTGAATAAGATGCTTGTTAACAGCTGTATGCTGGGATTCTGTGTCAGAACCGAAATAATCGAATTAGAATGACTATGCGTTGATATCTCCTGATCCAGTTCTGTTGACTGTGAGTGACAAGCAGAGGAGCTGAGCCCTGAAACTAGTCAGGGTATTTGACCCTGACACTATGTAACGGTACTGCAGTGATAGCAGTATCTTATGAGGCGCTTACCGCGCGGAGGTGTGATGTTCGACAGGTTTGTGGCGATTGAGAGAATATTTAGCGACCGGAATGGCCTTAGGATGAAAATCTTCCCTATGCATCCCGAAGAGAAGCTCTCGTTATGTCATGCAATTTATCTATTTGGTGTATTTGCACGTTCCTGTAAGACGATAAAGTTGTCGTCATGGTACAGCTAGTATCAGCGAAAGTTTCGCGCTCATCCTTTGTCATGGCCGAGTCTACACTTGAAACTCGCTGTGTGCGAGAAGTGCATCTGCATTCTTCACGGATCGTACGAGCCTCATAATTCTTTTGTCACGACGTGGTGAGCAAGACCCACCTATAATGTTTTTTTGGATCCACAGGTATGAATTAAAATGACCTGGCTCACAGAACCCAACATTGCATCACTGATCTTGAATTTTTATTTACACAAGCTGAGCTTGACCAGCGAAAAGCTCTCTGAGCTCGCTTTTTGGTGCCTCAAGAAATCTCAATAAATAGGTAACGCGCTCGTCTTTAAGCTCAAAGAGGAGGCACTCCTGTACCCGTTTTGCAGACTATTCCTGTGGTGCTCGCCCCTGGCAAAACCGCTGCAGATGATTAGGAGCTCTTTGAGCGACGAATGCAGCGGCACAGGAAACGTTCCTTGCTGTCTGACTTACAGCGGAGCCACAAGGAAGTGAACGTGCCCGTCGAACGCCATCTTCGATTTGAGTCCGCCAAACTCAAGGATCTACACCAACTTCTACTGTATTGTCGCGCTTTAACACAGAAAATAATCCATCACGCTCTCGCAAGCTCTGTGGTTTCTAACACGGGTGAGTCTACGACTACAGCAGCTCAGGGCCATAGCTTGAGCTCAGCTTATGGCCCTTCGGCTTACCGTGCTACTGCCGAGAAGCACGGGGCCCGCGACGACGCGGCGTCATCATCCTTCAGATCAAAAGCGTTCACGATGTCTGGGCAGTCTTGCTGAAGTGGCACCTCATGCAAAACAAGAGGCAGGATTGGTGAGTGCCTAACATGGCGTGATTTTTGGAGTCAGAAGTCTGAGGGCATTTGGCAAATTGTGCATGCGTATATGTTCGTATCGCAAATCTTAATTTCTGAAAAAGACGTGTACCTAACGACATGGTCGATCACACCTTGTTTAGTAAACGTGAGCGAATTTATACATTTTCAAGAGAGAGATTCCAAGTGAAATACCCGAGGCCTGGCTGGTTATGCATTTCTCTCGGACTGATAAAGGTATCGGGGTGTTTGGCTGTATAGTGACGCAGCTATTCAAGCCGCATCGTATGAATATTCTTATGATAGGTTCTCCGGGAGTTGTGGATAGCATGGAACTCGGGTTTACAGCAGTAATCTAGTATTATTCCTTATCGAGATGTTTGTTTATTTCAACTTTCTGTTTTAGCTGTCAGCTAATTCCTTTTATCAGAATATCTTATCAAAAAGTATGATCTTCAACCACTCCACAAAGGTTAAGGTCATTGGGGCCTGTTTGGTGTCGCCGTATCGAGGGCGCATAAGAAAATGACTTGGCTTTTTATATCAACAAGTCTATTTTTGGTGTCAACGAATTTCCTTTTCATGGATATATTATTAGAAAGTGTGGTCTTCGAGCACCCCAAAACGATTAAGTGTTTGACTAGAGTCGCCGTTTCAAAGGCACTTAAGCAAAAGAATTGGCTTGGCTGACTACTGAAATAAGTAAAAGGCAGATCGTTTATTATGGCTCAGCTCTTCATCCAAAGCCTTTTAACATGCCGAGTTGAGTCTTGGTTTTGCAGAAGCGGCAACCTTCAAGGCTCATGCGTGACCTATTTGGACACTGCTGAATGTAGATCGGCGATTTGACGCTTTCAATCTTGCCACAGGCTGTGCTTTACTTCAATTAGATGCCGTTGATATTGGCAAATCCATTTGACCCCGCCATCTCGAAGTTGCCAGAAAGATACACCCAGTTCACAACAAGGATCTACTATGATCTTGTCAAGTTCAGGATACATCTGCTTGAATTTAAGCAATTCAAGATATGTATAATTTAAAGTCAGTTCGCCGCAATCCGCTCCACTACCGCATCAAGCTAACCAGCCTTGTACCGTATCCCAAGGGTATACTAGGTAAAAAGGTTGTATCGATTTGCCATATTTTGAGCTGATTGCGGAGATGACGTAGTTGTGCGCAGTGAATTGATGAGGCGATCAGATTCCTAATATAAAATTTGTTGCATATTGAAGGCAAAGAGGCAAGACGTTTATCATAGCGTTTGGGTGTGTGCAAGACTACTGTTACTTATCTCAAGCTTATCGTATTACAACAAATTCTCATTTGATACTCGACGTGTGGTGGTACCTTACTATTAGACCCCAACAAATAAAAGTTTAAAAGGTACATGATTTTATCTTTGGTGCCCACCACGAAAGATAAAAACATGACTTAGTAGAAGCTATGTACTGGTGGCTCAACATGTATAATTTGCACAACTCTGGAATGTATTAAGGGATAGCACTTTTCGTATGCGTTGGCACCTTTCGCCGGTCTTCGTTTTCTTAAACATTTGTGGCATTTAACTGGCATATGCATTTATTTTAGTTGTCCAAAAGTCTTGTCCGGTAATATAGACTCTTTTTTTGTAATCGGCGAGAGCAGGATGTCTCATCTCATTACTCTCAGCAATATTACAACTTGCAAAGAAATGGCAAATCGATTTCTCGACATGCCAGCATAGCATTCCGGTGGCTATTATTCATATCGAAATTTGTGCTCAACAGCATTTTTTGAGTTTATTCTGGGTACAAGTAAGCGGATTGATTGTGTCCACCGCTGATAGCAGGTCAGACGAAACGAGTCAGTCGCGTAGTGAATGATATTATTTGAAGTATTTGTTCAAATATATTGCATGCCGGAATTACTAACCCCCCAACCATTAGCGCATGCCTCGACAGCCTTCATACTACTTTGACAACTGTTTTTGTAACCCCCTGGATTCTTTCGATACAAACTAATTGTAGTAACGAACTAGGAGTTAAGTTAATTTTACAAGCTGATATCAGTTCGACTACACCTCCAAACAATATTACGGATACAATACTGACGAAATCGAGCATTATGCGCCGAGTGGCACGCTAATACTATAAGTTAGGTTTGACGAAAGTTACAAGGAGATACCTAATGCCGGCGGAATATGAACAAATTTGTGGTTACTGCATAGAATTTCTATACCTTTTCATTACCTATAAGATATATATTTGCAACCACGCTCAATTGGTCCGTTCATGGTCGTAGCAAGAACTGGAGTTTTGGTGAGCTGTATAGAATTCAAACATACTCCGAGGTATTCGTAGGCTTATCAAAGCCATACCGCGATCTAGCTCATATAAGCCGATTGGTATTAACCCTTCTGTTATAGACGAAGCAACGTCTCAACCACTCCCTATTCTGAATTTTCTTTCTGCGTTTGAGCAACGATGCGGCTCCGAGTCGCTTCGGGTACTCGCTCATTCGAAGAACGGCTCACGTGAATTTTGACTGTATCTGGTGACGTTCGGTGCTTCTCGACGAGATGCCGTATACCAAGATATCCAAGAGGTCTAGTTTCGAAAGCGTTGAGTTACACCGGCACTACTTTATGATCAAGGGGTTCATCCTTTCATAGGCACCGTTATTGTAAACAGCACCAAATGAAGGGAACGTATAATTTCCACTTTAAAAGCTCGTCAAGGGTTTACGCTGCTATTGCAACATTGCCCTAGCATCGTTTCCGTTCCCGACGGGTCTCACCTTTTTTGAGATCTCTCGGGTAATGAGACAGGAATTTTCAGTGCAACACACTTTCTGTTACGAATGGCGCTCCGTTTTTTTTTTCCAATTTTCGGTCGGTATCCGCACCGACAAGCTCAAAAAGATGTGCAGGGCAGCTAAGAGCAGGAATGTAGATAGGAAACATCAATTTTGACATCAGCATCGTGCTTTGAAGCTGCAAAGTCAAGCATCGGATGACACTCCAGTGTGACGTCTGCTCCACTGAAGCTAGCTTGAAAAACTATATGACGATCAAGACAACGTGCCTTCTTCTTCTAGTGGGCAGATCGAATACCAAATGCTTAAACAAATTAGCTAATGCTAATGCTTGAACCCCAAAATATAGTCTTTATGGTGGGCACAATGATCCCGTCTAATGTTGCTCTAGGTGCTGAGGTACATATTTTAGGCTATGACTAGAGGGGTCAGAAAGTGCATGAGAAGCGGCTTTCGAGCATTCGCCAAGTACTTTGTTTAGGATCATTTATCGAGCGCATAGGCATACAAGAGTACCATTGAGGGACTGCCGGCAACTTATGATGATTCAAATGTCATGGCGATTGAGTCGGCTAAAGTCATCGCATCATTAGCACCTGCATACAGGCACCTCGGCTTGCTGGGGGAGATCAATCTTATTAGCGACGAGCAAGACGTTGTCGTAGGCTCCACAGCTTAGTGTCGTAGCTTTCTCCCCCAGACGGACCGTGTACAAGGATTACCTGTGTTGATATAGGCTAAGCATTAGTAACGACTTTATTGAAGTTCTCTACAGGTGTGGATTGGAACTAGACACCTCGACCACCTCTTTTAAGTGAACCTCTGGTTTTGTTTCCCACGATGTGTATGGAAAAGCATTCCTTATGCAAGTTATAATCGTAAGAGTAGACACTGTAGGTTACAACTCGAGAAGAAGAACTTCGAGCGTTGGTGCTAGTAACATACGGTTTGCGCGATTGTTGAGATAGACAAACTTGTTGCGACCACACAAATTATACGCGTATGCACGTAAACCGGGGAGGGTGTAGCGAAGTACCTACCATACTACAGTGTACGTACCCATTACACTATCAAAGTGCAAATTCAGAAGCAGCGATAGCGCACGACATGCGCTTAATTAAAAGAGTGTAAGTATCATGGTACAATATCATAGCTTTAACAATAAGTACAGCATCCTCTCTGTTTAGGAAATTTACAACCTGCTTGAATTGTTAGCCTTTGTTGATGACGGAACTGGTCTTGGCTCTAACTTATGTTTTACTTCTTATCAGCATCAACTGAACGCTTTGTATTGAGACGTTTAAAAAAGGCTTTCAAGCAGAAGCACTGCCATCGGACAGCAGTAAGATTGATGTCGCATTTGCTGGCATTTTATGATCTTATCATATCAGAATGATACACAAAATTATTTAAAATATATAACCTTGGCGCACCATGTGCATGATGATTTTGCATGAGCGAAAGATGACTAGTTTTATTCTCGGAAAAACGTACGAAAACGCTTTTATTTTGGAGTGGCCCATAGAAAGTGGTCTGAGCTTGTCCTGGGCATATTTACGGCAATTTTATCAAAATTTGCGCCTCAAGCTAAAAAACTTAAGGGCAATATTCCGAAGTGAAGGTATCGGATTTACCAATCAGCCAGTATTCTTAGATTTCTTCTACAGATTTTGACCGAAGGTCGTTTTCCTCGCGGTCTTCGTATGCGTTGACCTAAAAATTGGACGTATTCAATATATATAGCCTCGTGTTCTGTATGATTCTTCGCGTCGCCTTCGATTATGCAGCGTGAGGCATTTTACAATAGTGGACTCGTTGTTTTTTCGCCTAAATTTAATATGTCCAATAGTAGCAACATACCACACAATATTAACTAAAGAAAGAGCGAGCATCTCAGTTTCATTTAATACTTTTCCGTGTAGTAGAATTGCACTCAAATAAGCAGTGCTTATTTAAAACAGTAGGCGACCAGCACAAAAAAGCGGATAATGTGCTTCGTTCGCACGCGAAGCTAGGCTTGAACTTTGGATCATTGGGTTTGTAGGATGGGGTAGCTGTTAGCCTGGATGGCATGGACTGTATATGCTGAATCCCTATCGATGATATAGAACGTCTTGTCTGTGAAAGAATAGTAGTTATCAAGATGGGCTAAGTAGTCGCTGGCATCCTTTGGCAGTAAATAATTGGAACCGTCGAAGCAGCGTTCGTAGAGCTCCTCTGACATCAAGATATAGTCCAAGCGGTTCTTCCTAAGAAGAGGGCCTGTGAAGACTCGCTTGGTATCGTAATGGATCCGCCACGAAACGACTACACCCAGTTTTGCCAGCCACTTCAAGCGGCTTCAGCAAACGGGGTCATAGCGCAAGTTAGGAGACAAAGATCTAGTTTGGGGTTCAAGGGAGTGTTGAGATCACCCAACACCAGGTGTATCGCCTGATCTTTAAACTTCTCAGTCTCCAGTCTCGAAAAAAATGTTGTACTTTTTGCATGTCTTCTTGCGCATACATGTTGTGAATGTAGATGGGAGTACCTTCTGCTACCACTTGCACAACGATGTATCGACCAAGGATAGAGAGCTTGGAGACCTCTTCCGCCGTGTCGAAACCTGGAAAATCGGAACAAAGCAACGTGAGAACTCCATTGCCTTTTCCTCGCATTGGTCGATCAAAAAAGCTGTTGGGATCATTTACGAAGACTTTGTGCGTGAAGCTTGTGTCTAGATAAAACCTGAAATTGGACAGGTGTATTCTGAATTTGGTCTCTTGGATACAAGCAAATGAGGCCTTTGAGAGCAAGTTTTCGATGAACAAATGATCATTTTTTAATGCTATTAGTGTTTACAGTCGGAACACTAATGTTGCTCCAGGTGGTGTTCGATGGGAAAACTTTAGTAGCGAGTGGCTAAACCTCCCGCTACCAATACCACCTCATTTAAACAATTTTTAGCTGCAACACCGACTTATCAACAGTGTAGTACACATCAAGCTGCCGAGGTATTTCCAAGTTGTCAAGTAAGTACCCTTGCCACTGTATTTCGCTCCATTGATGTATACAGTCAGAGCCTAACTCGGACCGCAGCAGTATGAGAAGTGTATTGAGGTGAAGCAGTTTTGCGTGGTGAGCGGGAATCCACTCCTCCGGCTGACCAGTGAGATACTGAATACAGTGATCGTTGCAGAAGATCGTAGGCGCTATCGACATCAGCATGAGCTCGAAGAAGCTGAGTGCCTTTGTCACCATGGAGGATCGCTCACCTGTTCAGATTATCTTCACCACTTGGCGCACGTCTTGAATAGCTCTACTCTCGTTGATGGGACTTCATGAGCTTCCTCAAGTTTGCGTTGATGACATCTTCGCTTGGCTGGGACGCTCTCAGCACGCGGTTAATCACGTGTAGCTGTGCAAGCTCCGCAATGTCCAGAGCCAGCCATCTTTAGCGACAAGGCGCTATTAAACGCCAATGACGAGTACACTGCCTTCTTAACGACACGACCTGGATTTGTGACGCTGTCAATGACTTTGGTTATTCCGTCAACTTGAGAGTCTGCTCAAGCAAGACAGTCAGGAAGACTGTTGAGCAGTGCTGTGTTTTCATCATTCAACATTGACTCAGACACTTCCAAGATTGGAGACGCTTTTGACGCTTTTTATCTTTGTGTGATGCTTTTCGGCGAAGAATGCTGATTCTGTCGATGTCTGGACGCTTCATACCAACAGGAACAGCTTGGTACTGAGGACCAAACTTCTTATCCGCGACAGCATTCTTTGCTTCGAAGGATACCTCCATAGACTGCAGCATCTGGAAGTAATTGGCTGTGTGACACCACTCAGAAGCTGTGGCCGCTGTTCCCAAGCATGTTGAAAAAATCGATCCTATTTCTCGAGCGCTTCTTCTTGTTTGTCACGGTGAAAAAGTCATCCTTCCCATTTGTTAGAAGTAACATTGGAGGTTTATTTTGTGGACTAGCAACTCCAGGCGGAGTTATCTTGCCATGAGAGTCGTCAAATGTGACAATTGAGAGTACGTCAGAATTTATTTCTTGGCTTGATCAGTGGTAGTTCAATCAACGAGATGCCATGCTGAGCTTTCTGTTGTGGCTGCATTTCTCGTGTTCTTCTCTCCTCGATTGCCATTCGCAACGAGATTTGTTTCGACTTCGTGCGTATAACCTGAGCATAGGTATGTGGTGGTTACTGTCGTTGTTGCTGAGATTGCTCAGAAGCTGACGTTTGGAAGAAAACTTTCTGTCTCAAGTCTCAATATCGATTCCATGGTGCTAGCGATAACCATATGGATGACGCTCCGAACAGAAGGGGACATTCTTGCTGTGTGCCGGATGAGGTTTGTTGTCAAACAGCATATGGTCACACACAGCTCCGTTCACCATCAACGCGCTAGGACATGAACTGGACAAGAAGTAAACTCTCTATGTTGCCGATGTTATCCCAGTCGCAAGGTTCACCTCACGAAAGGTGTCGTACAGTGACTGACACCCGAGGAGGAACAGTCTATGCAAGATCACGTCGATGTGTACATCAGAATCGACGATGACTTTTGTTCAATCCGCTCACATTCACCGTCGAGTCTATCGGCTCATCCACCATTACTTCCCAGTCATTGGGTGGATAGTCGGCTGCTAGAGGATAATTGCTGGTAGCAAGTTCCATCGTAGAAGGTACAATTTCGCGGGAACGAGGGCCAGCGGGATCATTATTTTTGGATGGGGATGAAAAGACAGTGGAATCGGCTACATAACTGGGTGTTGCCCGGTAATTGAGACCGGTGTGACCGAGCAGGGCTTGGTAAAGTTTTTTTTTCATAAGGAAAGTTGAGGCTGAGAATGCTAATGAGCTGGGAGAGGGTTCTTGAATTCGACTTGTGGGATAACCGGCAAATTGAAAGGCTAACAGAATTTAAGCTCAATAACTAGACTAGGGATCTAAATATTTCCAGTTGGAGCAAATGAAGCTATCAACAATCGCTGAACTTTGACAACCGAATCAACAAAGAGCAAAAATTCATTAGTCTTAACATATCTAAACTTCTGACTGGGAGACTAAAGGTCATGCATAATGAATATTGAAGGCTTACTAGTTTAAGGACTTCAAATCTGCTTTGAAAACAAACGAAAGAAAGAATGTTGAGAATTATAATTGCAGCCATCCCCGAATATGACCCCAATTCGTCAGCGACATCTTTTAGGGCTAAGACATCTTTTTGTGTGTGAAAATGCCTGATAATGCAAACTCAGGCTGGTATATCGACGATATACCCTTCGTACAAGAGTATTGCCACTGACAGACAACACGGTACAAAATTAAATATCGTGTGCACTATCGGATCTGAATATGTACAGCATTTGTGTGGTTTTCCTGACACTCGACAACGAAAGTGGGATGTATGCTGTTTGTAAAAAAAATGGTGTACCGAAACTGGTAACTGATTTTACTGTGAGGATGGGCGAAATCATTTTTTTAGAAAAGTATTCGGTTTAACATGGAGAAAAACTTTTAGGTTAATGCTCTGTGCCCGGCTTTTACTTTGACGCACTGTGATGTTTTTGCTCATCATTCTGCCAATTAAGCAGCAAAGGTGCGTGGGTGTGGACGAAGATACGAGTAAAGGGTTATATATATGTGGACAGTTCGTAACTTTGTCTCGCGGAAATTATACTAAGAATGGCACGAAATCGGCAAATTGTGGTAGTCCACGTCAGTCAAATATATAGTCGTAAAAAATCTAATTTGAAGCATGCAATGTAGCTTTCATTGCTAATCTTTGCAAACAGTTCATGGCATTAAAAATATTTCCAACCGCGGAGTTTGTGTATCACGGTATTTCAAAGCACTGACTTCATGACTTTAAGCATTGCATCATAAGCTTTGCTGAAATACGGCTAGTAATGCTGACCCATGCATAAAACTATTATTTTACTCTCAACAAACTACAGAATCCGGCTCGATTCACAGCGGTCAAAATCGAATGCAAGCACTTAGGTCGCGGCAGAGCTAAGATGGTCATGACAATGATGACTCAAATAAAAAGCGCATTTCATTTGTCAGTTCTGAGGCGCTTAAGGGATTCAAGTTTATAAACTCGCTCGTTTGAAGGCTGCTTGCTCCTAATTTTGTCGTTTTGCAAAAACCGCCTTCATTACACTATTACAACTTTATAAAAAAGAGATGAATGGGTCTTGAAGGATCCAAACGAACTTGCTGAACAATGTGTTTTAGAATCCAGTTAGCACTACAAATGAGTGCAGGAAAGTCATTAGAAATACTCAAACATTCAAATAATGAAAAGATGCATCACAATCAGATGCAGCACTGGATTATAAATAAGTGAGTGCGCCACCTGAAGATTTCCGCGAAAGCGAAACATCATCGTTTCCGATAGAAAATTAGAGTCAATGGGATATATTCGGGAGAATCATCAGTCCTATCATAAAGAGTTTGTTGAGAAGATGGCAAAAACTGAAGTGAATATATTTATGTTTTTAGTTCGCTAACTCTGCTTCTGTGCTACCTCTAAGTCTGACTTTCTAGATTCTTCTTATTTTACCATTAGTCCGTAATCAGCATCCGTAATCATGATAGTAATTGTAAACATGACCGAAATCCTTGTGACGTCATCCACATGCATTCAGCGGTGTAAACTGAACAGAGTTAAAGGATTGAAACCCGAATCAGAAGCACATGTTACATGATATACGGAGCCATTGACAGCGTGACGATATTATGAATTCATTTTCCGTTGTATCCATGTCATACTAATGCGTCGAGGTGATACAGACACGCTATATCACGTCTGCAACCGCTTGAAATTCATGTTGGCCACGACCAACAATAAGCATTCAATGAATTGCAGGAATCTCTTTCCAAATCGACGGAGGTGGTGAATATAAATGCTAGGTGCAATTTGCGAACCTATTAGCCTTAAGCAAAAAATGCCAGCAAAAAGGCAAGAATTAATAAGTCAAATAAATGCGTCGTACAAAAATTTGTATAGCTCAAGGCATAGCACTACTTGCATTTTCTTCGAGAGTAATGATAAGATACTCAAAAATTTGTTATATTAATACTTGCCAGCAGTAACACAAAGACTTTTTTAAAAAGGTTGTAGTCGATAGAGGGTCCGACAAAGCAGAGATCAGCTTTGAGCAGCATTTGTGGTTTAACTTATCATAGTCCAGTCCAAAGACATATTGTTGCGCTTGCTGGGCACTCAAAGAGAACATTGAAAAATTGCATGGGTGCACACTTTGCACAACGAATCAGGATTTTAGACTACCACTGGCGCAGAAAAAGAATGAAGGTGAGCTAGTCTTTAGTGGTGAATATGGAAACAGGCTGCTATTCGTCGATGTTGTCGGGGTCGTTTAATACACAAGAAGGAGTACGTTGTGGCAAGTACCGTGTATAAATGTCAAAACTGGCAAAGATGCGATTTGGACATTTCATAGAAATGCCGTCAGGGAAAGATTGAAGCTGACATTTTACAGCAACTAGAATTATCGAGTACAGGTAGTTCATACTAACTTTAAGAAAGTATTGTACGGCCTGAAGAGACGTGGGTGATGGACCTTCACCAACCTAGATCGAGACCGCTATACCTGTGACTGGGTCGAGCCTGACAGAAGTCAACATTTTGCTCTACCCGCTAACCCTAGCTGTCAAGGATGTGAAGAAATAAACAACTTTTGGAATCGCAAACTAAGATGTTTGAGAGTATGAACTTTGTGCTCAGTCAAATGGCAGCAATCGACGCTGATCTTGTAAATCCCGCGTAAGGTTTACAATTGGTGCATCAGTGACGGTTTGGATGGCAGGCTGCTGTACTTAACAGCGAAGAATGGACAAGAAACGATAAATCGAATGAAGCTCTTATTTCATTTTCAAGACATTTCCAACTGATTATTTAACGGGGGTTGGTGCCCCCCTTGTAAACCGGATCCGTAGTCCGCGTTGTAATGGGTCAGTCCATTTACACATGTTGTGCGAACCACATACTTGTGTGTGTGGTTAACGTTGAATGTATACCCTTTATAGTTGTATATACCTCACTCTTGATCTATCAATATTGAAGGCAATTATTAGTTTAGAAAGTTTGAAGGCCATTTGACATCATGAATGTCAATTCCCCTTGTTATCTGTCAATTAAATCAACGGCTCGCTGGAAGTAAGTAAAAAACGATAAAGAGTGCCTAATAATTTAAATCTTCTTCAGTGAGTGCGTGCATACAGACGGGCAATTCCCGTTCACATGAGCGTCGTGCAATACATAAATCAAGATCTTATCACTCTAAAAAATAAGATGATGGATTGGGTTTTAACTTTGAATGGCTTTTTTTGGTAAAACATTTTTTGATTTGTAGAGTACTAATCATTGGAGAGGCTGGCTGTATCATATCCATGGAGCGATACTTGTATTTATTCTATATCCAATTGATATTGCAATATCCACAAGTGGCAGATTCATCTATGCAGGTTTACGGTGGCCGCGAGAAATCAACTTCATGAAGATCGAGAAAATCCAGATATTTGTATTACCCACACGAAACTAAACTGTGTAAAGTCGCATAACCAAGTGTGCTCTCGTCAAGTTTCATTAAACGGAGACCTGCGCCAAGTCAATCAGCTTTGACATATTTTGCGTCTACTAGGCTCGACCTCTGTTACCAACAGCAGGGGATTCTCTCCATATTTTCCCTCGAAGACCTTAACGCTCACCATTAGCGGCTTTGGACGAAGAATATCATCCGTCACTGACGGTGGCGTCATAGATGCAAATGATGCAGACATCTTCTGCTGTAGGTGCTCTAGCAGCGCGTTTTCGTAATTAAAAAATGCCTCTAGACGAGCACCGATTGCCTCGGGGCCTTGCACCGCAAAGTGTTGCACGCCCTCAGGCCCAAGCAAGGACATCAGCTTGTTGAGCCCGTCCTTCATGCCTTGAGGCAAAGAGGGAAATTGTTACATCCTTACATAGGATCAGTCTAATCTACTCAGGCGTAGATAACTACAAGTGCTACCAAGTGCAGCGGGGCTGCCGAAGCTTTGCGCTTAGAAGAAGCGTAAGTTAGGTCACCGACCTTTCGTTCGATACTTAGAACAAGTACGAGTTTAG